ACGTCTGCATGCCTTTTGGCCTGTTCTGCTCTTTTCTGATTTACTTGGCTCTTCACTCTTACGTCGCTTGTGGCCATTAGAGGGTCTTCAGATTTGTAGGGCCACCTCGCCTGTGTGTGTGTTGCTGACGTCTAAAAACTCTGTCCCTGTCTCGAGGTTGGGAAGGCACCTTGGAGACCAACCTCTGGCCACCCCACCCCGCCATGTCTGTCCCGCCCTGCACCTGCCTGGCCTTTTCCCGGTGTGAGTCGGCTTCGCCTCTCGGGTGGACACGCAGTGGCCTCAGCCGGTCCCCGTTTGCCCTGCTCCCCGCTGTTGCTGTTGGGCAGGGCAGGGCCTCACCCTCCAGATGCTGGTTCCAGGCCACGGCAGTGGGGGCTGCGGGTGCAGTCAGCCCGGCCCAGAGGCAGCCCATGTCCAGGGAGAGCTGTTACGAGGCACTTTGTGGCTTTTCTGTTATTTCTTCCATTGCGTATTCTGATTGTTTGCAGTTGGAGAATGGAAAAATGCAAGTGATTTTGTCAGGCTGGTGCCCAGCAACCTTGCTGGACTCTTGTTAATTCTAATGTGCAGGTTCACGGACTCCACACGGGGACAGCTCTGCCCCTACCCTAGGAACCAGGCCTCTCATGAGTCTTCTTTGCCTCTGGTGCCTTGCCGGTCTCTGCCCTGGGTGCCCTCCTGTCCATCCTCGGTCGCACTGCCCTGCCCTGCCCTGCCCTGCCGAGGCCATGTGTCCTTGTGTGCTGCAGGTTTCTCTGGTAGGCTGGGGCCAGTCCCTTCCTTCTCAGTGCACTGACATTGGGTTGGTGTTTGCGCCTCTTTCCCCATCTTCCTCCTGCCAGTGTGGTGGGCTCGTTGGCTGAGCTTCGGGTTAGGCTAATCTGCACCCTGCATGGTCCTTTCTGGATGTTGTTGGACTCGGTTTACTGACCTTTTGCTAATCTGTAGGCCACGCATTTCTGTTTTTTTCCTGACATGGTTCTCTGCAGGTTCATTGCCCAGGTTATGGTGGCGACAGAATAATCTGGGATGTGTGCCCACCTTTTCTGTCCTCAGAAGAGCCGTGCCAGTGTGGAGTTCCTCACTCTTGGGCCTGGTGGGTCTCCTGCGGCCGCAGTGCTCCTCTGGCGACCCCGCTGGGGCGCAGCACAGGTGTGTGCTGTCAGCGGACACGGATTCGGACTCACAGTCCGGCACGCCGGGCCGCGGTCACACATCTCAGGGCTGATTCCGCAGACCTGGCCTGGGCTGCTCAGTGCGAACCCCGTCCTCACATGGCTGTCCCGCTGCGCCTGTGTCCTGTCCCCCTCCCAGGACAGCAGCCGGAGCAGGTGAGGCCTCCCCGTGCCCGTGTCTTACCTTCCCTTCGTCTGAAGACCTTGCCCCATCTTGAGGTCAGCGACGGTCACTTGAGGGAGCCAGGGCTCCAGGGCCTTCGTGCTGGCGCCATCCTGCGTCTCTGCTGCGTGGAGCTGACCGTGGCCCCTGCGGACAGCCTGCGTGGCTGCTTCCCACCTGAGCGCTGTGAGGCCCCCGAAGGCACTGGGGGCAGCCGCGTGTGTGGGCTCCCATGAGTCCTCCTGAGACTCCCAGGGTGAAGGAGCCGTAGCCGCCAGGCCACCCCCACTGCTGAGGGCCTGGGTCGGCCTGTCTCAGGCAACATGGCCTGCCCAGCCGAGCGTTTCCTGTGTGCCAGGCACGGGGCTGGCCCGGGGCTCACTCGGGAGATGCGTGGGTTCTGGGCTCTGCGAGGCGATGTGCACCCGGCCTGCCCGTGGAGGGTCGGTGGTCTGCTAGCCAAACGGGAAAGCCAGCCAGGAGCACATGGCAGGTGGACGTGGCGGGGCCCTGCTGGCCCAGCAGAAGGGTCTGCCACCTTGGCGCGGAGACTGGAGTGTCCGGGGAAGCCGGCACCTCTGCTTGGCAGAGGACCAGGCAGGCGCTCAGGGAGGCGTCAGCAGCAGGGGCGGCCAAGCCGGGGCAGGACGGAGGGACCAGCGTTGGCTTCTGCAGCCAGATGCTCGGCCAGTGACGGATGGGTCTGTGCCTTGCTGCTCCTGCCTACGAGTGGGGTCTGCTGTGTCTGCTGAGACGAGACGTCCCGGCCCTGCAGTCACAGGAGGTGGCCGGCGGGCTTGGCAGGCCCAGCTCCATCCCGGCCTCCTGCATGGAGGGTGGGGTCCCGCGCGTCACCCATCTGTGGGGCGGCCTTGGCCCCTTGGGACACCCTGGTCGGCAGGGCTCCTCGGGCCGCTGCGATGGAGGAGCCCGGCCTGGCCTGCCCTGCCCATGAGGAGGCTGGGCCCTGAGCGCCCCAGGGAATGAGGGTGCCGTTCTGCTGTGATAGCTCGGCCCCTGCCCTGACCCTCAGGAGGCCAAGGCTGCCGGCGCCTGAGAGGTGTTGGGAGCGGCGTGGGGCGAGGTGAGCTGGGCCTGCTGTAGAGGAGGCCATGGCTCTGGGAGGGAGGGCGGCACCGGGGTTGTGAGCAAAGTGCTGCCCTTGGCGCCTGCGTGTGTTGCGGTGGTGGCCACCGTAGTCTCCAGGGTCAGGCCCTGGCTTGGCCACCCGACTCCTGGCTGCAGGGCACAGGGCAGTCGGACGTGGGGGTCCCCGGGGCAAGCAGGGGGGGGCCAAGTGCAGACCTGCAGTGCCTGCTGCAGCCCCAGCCTCGGGCCAGAGCGAGTCTTGTAGCTCGCTGGCAGTCGGGGTAGGTGTGCTGGGGCCAGTGCCGGACGGGGCTGCGGCCATGAGGAGCCCTTGGGCCCTGTCCCTCGGGGAGGAGGTGGCCGTGGGCGCGTTCGCTCCCCCTGCTGCCTGCGTTCACTGTGCCCAGTTTGGTGGCAGGAGTCGGCCCGGAGGCTGACTTGCCTCAGCACAGGGTGTGCAGGGCATGAAGGTCACAGGCGCAGGGAGACCGGAAGCACAGAAGCACGGAACCCGGCACCAGTCTGAAGAGGGCGGCAGGAGGGCGTGTGGCCCCAGGGCACTGTCTGTCACTAGGGAAGGGGAGGCCAGGCACACTCAGCCACGGCCCAGCAGGACTGAGAAGCGGGGACAGAGCCTGCTGTCACCCTGTTCAGCCTGGCACAGTGGAGGTTTGGAGCTCACCGCCTGGCGGCGCCTGGGAGGGGCTGTCCTGGTCCCTGGTCCCCAGCACAACCAGGAGCAGCACAGCACTGGGGTGGGGTCCCAAGGAGCACTGCCCTCCAGTGTGGGGGACAGCACTGGGCTTCCCTGGGCCCCCCCTGTTCCCGCCCGGGGGACACCTTTCCTCACGCCCATGGGGTGCACGATGGACCTGCCAGGACCCCCCAGCCGTGTGTTAGGGACTCGCCAGAGGCTTGCCAGGGGCAGGGCTGGGGTCACGAGCAGAGTCCTGTGGCAGGTGCCTGGTGCTACCTCATTGCCCTGCCACTGCCAGAGCCCCCTGCATCCCAGCTTCCTCACCGGTCACCTTTGCGGGGTCCTGGGCAGAAGGAGGACATTGGTGGGCAGCTGTGCAGTCCTGCTGAGGCCTGGGCTTGGCCTGAGCCTGGCGGGGCAACTCGGGTGAGTGGTGTGACCCGACCAGGTGTGCTGGACTCCCTGTCCTGTGACTGGGTGCCTTCCCCATCAAGGCTGTTCACGGAGGTAACCAGTCCTCGGGACAGCCCAGGACTGCCAGCCTGCCCGTGTGCAGCCCTCCAGCCTGAGGCAATCCAAGGGGCCGTGCCTCAGTTTCCCGGCTTCCTCTGGGCCCAGCTGCGAGGTCTGGGGTGCAGCACTGCTGAAGGAGCCCTGTCCAGGCTCTGGGCCCTGGGAAGCCGCAGCCTCTGCCGAAGCTGGAAGTCCAGGCCCAGCCTTGGCTGTGCGACCTGACTGCGGTCTGAGCCCGGTGGCCCACTGAGCGCTGTCACCCCGTCAAGCGTTTCGAGGGCCTGCGCACTGTCCTCTGGCTGGCAGTGACTGTGCCTCCACCGGGGTGGAGGGGGGCGCTGCTTCAGGAGGGGCTGTGGCAGGAGCGTCCAGGAAGCTTGGAAGCTGCTCCCCAAGGCAGGCACCGTGGTGCAGGTGGCCGGTGGGCGCTGGGCCCAGCCCAAGCTGTCGGCTCCCGGACTGGCAATGGAGCCATGGCAGGGGAGACTCCAGCCCTGCCGAATTGTGCCAGCACCCCAAGACCATCCCCAGAGCCCCACGCCCAGGGTCCAGGGGCGGAGGTGGTGTCCAGCCCCTATGGCAGGGTGGGTGGGCTGTGGAGGATGCTGCAGGACACTGTGGTCACCAAGACTGTGCCTGTGCATCCTGAGCCCTTGGCAGGAAGAGGCGGGGCTGGGCCCCGAGGTGGGCAGGGAGGTCCAGTGGGGCCCGAGCCCGTGCAGTGGCTGAGGTGGCTGAGGGCCCGGGTGTGGTGTGCCTGCCAGGGTCTGCTTGGGTGCCTCCGGCCAGGCTCCCGGCATGGGGACCAGGTGGGCAGGTGATGGTGAGAGCTGACCCCTCGCCTGCCCTCTGCGGCTTCCCCGCCCCTCTGCCCACCCTGGACTCCCCCGGGCATCTCCTGTGGCCCCAGCCCTCTCGGGGCCGGCTGCTTTAAGGGCCTTGCTGTGCCTTCCAGAAGGTGGCAGAGCCCAGGCAGCCCACACCCACTCACAGTCCTGTACCACCCGCAGCAGCAGAGCCCAAGACACCTCCTGCTCTTCTGAGCCAGTGGCTTTGGGGGCGATCAGGATACAAGGTTTCTTGCTAATACAGTACATTTCAAAGGTCCTCCTGCCAAGCGTTTAAGCGCTAGTCTCTGGGCAGCAACAGCCCACTCGGCGCGGAGCGGGAGTCATGAGCGATTCTGGGTTGGCAGGGCAGGAGGGCTGCGGGGCCGTGGTGGGTGGGGACAGCAGGGCTGGGACCTCCTCCTGCTGCCAGGGCTGTCAGTGAATGGAGCCAGGACAAACTCCCAGAGAGGCTCCAGATGGCCCCCGATCCTGGAGACAGAGAGGGTGGAGGCCGAGGGGGAGCACAAAGCTTCCAGATGCACAGGCAGCTTTTATTGGGCTGGTGACCGACGTCTCAGGACAGCGACCCCCTGGCCCAGTGCGGGGCACCCCAAGCACTGCCCCCCGTGTGTTCTGGCAGAGCAGGGTACCCTGTCCAGGGCCTGACACCCTCAGCAGCCGAGATCCTGGGCACGCACACCTGTGGGAGGCAGACCCGGCCCTGCCAGAGACTAGGAGGATGCTGCCGCACTTGGCCACGTGCTGTAGCCCAAACCCAAGGCGGAGGACGTCCCCCCAGGTGCCACCCAGGGACAGCAGCCCTTCCAGGGGGTCCCACAGCCAGGCAGGTGGCTGCACAGGGGGCTGGAGCCTGGGTGCAGGAGGCGCGGCCGAGGGCACTGAGCCGCCTGGGCAAGGCAAGCTCGGCCTGCTCCAGTGCAGGAGGCTGGAGCCCAGCCAGGACAGGGCTGGCCTCCCCTGCCCAGGCTGGGTGCTTGCCACTTCAAGGCCAAGGGCTTCCTCGTCCTGATGCCACAGGGCCCCTCTCTGCCTGTCCTTCTGTCCCCAAGAATGCTGCACTTAGGACCTCTAGGCACTTTCTGAGCAGGCACCAGGCAGGCCAGGATAGGGGCACAAGCTGTGTCCGGTGCTGTGGAAGGCAGTCTGGCCCTGGGCGTGTCCTGGCCGGGGGCGTGTCCCGCCCAGGGGGCGTGTCCCGGTGGGGAGGGGCGTGTCCCCGGAAGGGCCCTGCTGTCCCTGAGCTGCTTGCCCTTCCCTTCCACCCCAGCCTCTTGGGGTACCCAAAATGGACACAGGTGAGGTACACAGCCCTGCCCCCCAGTGGACAGGTCCCCAGCAGCTGTGGGTCCGAGGAGCCGCGCCCACCCTCAGGCCTGGGTCTCCCGCCCCAGGGAACCTCCTGGACACTGGGCACCCGCCTCAGCCAAGCTGCCAATCTGCCACACAGGGTTTGATGCCCACAGTTTGGAAGCGCCGTGTTGGCCGGGCCTAGGTCGTGGGGACCATGGCGGGCATTTTTAAGTGAAACAAGTGAGCCCCGGTGTCCTCCAGCCCTGGGCCCAGAGCCCCAAGTCCCTGGGCAGCTGCCTTGGAACATGCAGCCTGCAGAGCGCAGGGATTACCAGGCGCTGGCCGAGGGGCATCCCAGGGACACTGGCAGTGACTGTGGTCCTGGGCCTCTGCCCTGGAGGAGACTGGAGGCTGAGGGCAGCAGGCAGCACCCAGGGCGAATTGTGCTTCTTGTGCCGGGCGTTCAGGAACAAGGCTTCGCTTTAGGAGAGTGTGGGGTGGGCCACAGAGAGGCCATGTCTGCCCCTGTGCCCAAGAGGCAGGAGGGAAGTCTTGGTGTAAAAATAGGAAATTCTTCTGACTTCTGCAGAGTCGTGGGCTCAGCCACAGCAGAGGGCGCCCTTGTTGCCGACAGATGCCACAGGCCAAGCCCTGCAGGAGCCTGGATGGCCTTGAGCCTGCTGGGCAGCCCTTGTGCGGGCCATGGGGCTTCCTGCACTGGGCCCCAGGGGGCGCCCTTCCCCTCCCGGCCTCTGTCCTCTGGCAGCGCCCAGATGTGGCCTTGCAGGGCAGAGGACTCTGGTGGTGTCCAGTCCCCGGCTGTCCCCTCCCGGCCACCCACCCTTCACCTTGGCCGGGTCCTGGTCACGAGTTTCGGTACAGCTGTGAAGACATGGGTCACAGATTTGTAAAAACAGCTTAAAAACCACTTCCTGGCAGCCTCCAGGGTAGTGTGGAGACCCCCCCTCCGGCCTGCACGAGGCCTACCCCCCGGGCCATGTCCCAGGAGCCACCATGAACGGCTGTGGCCAGAGCAGTGCCTGGCCGCGCCCTCCTGCATCCTTGCTGCGGCCCTTCAGGGCCCAGCCCAGGTCCCAGCCTCAGAGCTGGGTCTCGTCACGGGTCTCGGGGTTGCAGGAGGACAGTTTGTTGCTGCAGCTGCTCTTGTGGCTCGGGGAGCTGCTGGCCATGTGGGCCAGGGGGTCGGAGCGGATGAGGTACCTGTGGAGCAAGCCAGGCCCTGGAGCAGCAGCACCTCTGCCCGCGCTGGCCCAGGCCTGGCCGCCCACACCCAGCTGAGAGTCTGTGCACTTGCACTCACACAATGTCGTTGGGCTCCAGCCGCGTGTCGGGTGGAGGGTTGATGAGGACGTAGGACAGCGTGTTCTGCTGATCGTTCATCTCATCTGCAAAGGACGCAGCCGGGCAGCATCACCGCCTGCCCCGTCCACGGCGGGCACCGGAGCCAGGGCAGCAGGGCTCTTCCCAGCCAGCCTGCCACACCTGTCCCCGGCCCTTGCTGCCCTGGACGGGTCAGCCGCCATCCAGCCTGCGGCCCACCCAGCCCAGGCAGCCAGCAGGGGCGCTGCCGCAGGGTGGGCCTGACCAGAGGCAAGGAGCAGGCCTGCACGCCCCGCACACATCGGCACGGCCGCACGTGCTGCAGACACAGCTCCCCTGCGCACACCTGTGCACCTTCACATACAGTGCCCCAGCCTTCCTGACGCCCTGCAGTGGCACTGTCCCCAGGCTCGGGCCTTTGTTGAGGACCCTGGTCCCGAGCGGCCCTCAGCCCAGGGCACTCACTGAGCTCATGGCTCCAAGAACAGGACTCTCTTGCGGGGCCTGTGCCCGGCCTGCAGGGTGGCCGTGGTGCTGCCCACAGGCCGAGGATGGCTTCGGAGGAGCTCTGGTCACCTCCCAGACATCTGCACTCGGCCAGCAGGGGACCCTGGGGACCCAGGGACAGAGGTGTGGCCTTGAGCCCACTGGCCTCGGTTTACCCGCATGCTATCTAAGGCAAAAGGACATCCTCTTCTCTGGACCCCTCCAGCTTCGTCCCCTGCATGTCCTCGCCCCGGGGACTGTGCTGGCCATGCCGCCCAGGGGGCCAGGATCTCTGCAAGGCCGAGGAAGCTGTGGCTGCCTGCCAGGTGGGCTGCGACCCCTCCTCCTGTCTGTCAGGGGTGTGGCTTCTGGTGCTGGGGTCTCGGGAGCCTGGGTGGGTCAGCTGGAGCCAGCGTCCCCTCCCTGACTGGGAGAGTTGGCCTGACCATCCTGCTTCTCCGCAGCACGGGTCTCCTTCTGTCCTCCATGCACAGCGACTCTGGCCACAGCCAGGTTTCCTCAGGGCCTTCGCTGGCCCCCAGTGGGAGGTGTGGGCCCCAGGACTGTGAGCCCCATGCAGCCCTGTACTCAGACTGCAGCCACTGGCAGGGCACCATGCTGCAACAGGCACACAGCTGGGGCCATGGAAATGAGGACCACCAGTGTGCCCAGCCCCCCGTGTGCCCATCAGCCTCGCCCTTGAGGACAAGCCAGGGCATTTCCAGGACTGGCACAGCAGTGTGCTGAAGGCTGGGCTGGCCAGAGTTCTGTGCTGTGCCTGAGGGCCAGCCCTGTCCACGCTCGGGGCAGGCAGGGGCGGGGCTGGCCCAGCTCTGGGGAACAGCACCCACTGGACCCCTGTGCCTGCACCCGCGCCCAGCCCACCAGGCTCTTCTCACCGCTTCAAGCTCCTGCCTCCCCAGGCGGGGACTCACCCACCCTGGGCATCCAGTCCCCGCCCAGCCACCTGTCCTGTGATGGATGCTTTGCTCCACTTCTGCCTCATCTGCACAGAGGCCTGACAGTGAGGCCCACCCTGTAGGCCCCCTCCAGCAGGACTGACTCCCCTGCTTCTGTCCTGGCCCAGGCACCAGCAGCCATCTGCTCATGGCGTGCTGCTACAGCCGCCCGACCTGGACCCCAGCACCTCCCTAGCAAGTACACAGGCAGTGCCCAGGAGACACCGTGTGCAGACACTTGAGCCTGGTGCCCTCAAGGCCCGCAGCTGCCCACCCTTCCCAGGAGCTGTGGGGATGTGGCACAGCCAGGCACGAGGGAGCGCCAGTCCGTGGAAGCCGCCGATGCTGGGCTGAGCCCCAGTGCCCAGCAGAGGGTGCTCTGCCATGAGCCAGGCTGTGGGGCGAGCAAGGGGCAAGAGCAGGGAGCAGCTGCTGAGCTTCACCCTGTGGCCGCCCACAGGCCCCTGGCAGATGGCACCACCTGAGCAGCACCTGCCTTCTCACCCCGTAAGGCCCCAGAGCCCTTGGGCTGCCAGGAGCGCAGGCCTGGACTCTCCCCTGAGCTCCAGGGCCTGGAGGTGGCCAGGGTCTGCAGCATCTCCCCGGAGAAAGTGGGGTACAGTGGGGCACCCAGGAAGAGTGAGGCATAGGCCAGCTTTGTCTCAGCAAACAGAATCCTGCCCTCGAGGCCCCAGTGGGGAGTGGGTGCCTCGTCCACCTAGCTCGGCAGCCCCCAGATCCTGCACTCACACCCGGGGCGTTCCAGCCTGGGCTTCCCGCAGCTATGCCATGGGGTCGGGGACACAGGTCCCCCACCAGGGCCAGGCAGAGGCCAGGCTCCCCTGCAGCAGGGCGGAAGGGCTCGGGCTGGTGGGCACATACCACACACGAGGTCCAGCAGGGGTGCCCAAGCTGCCTGACCGGGAGAGGGCCAAGCCTCTCTCATCTCTCCTGCCGCTCACTGCCTGGCCGCTGGGGCGGCACAGCTGGCGCATCCCCGTGCAGCAGTCTGTCTGCCAGGGCAGAATTACCTTGCAAATATCCCAGGTTTACCCGATTCATGACATCACTGGCTGTTAAATTTGCTACGTCCTCTAAGAACACACAGGAGAGGCACAGACAGAGACAGAGAGAGAGAGAGAGGTCAGCAAGCCGCGGGCGGGGCACAGGCCAGCTGTGCAGGAGGCTGTCCACACCCGGCGGTGGCCAGCGACAGCTGCTTGGGAAAGCCACTCAGCTGCCAAAAGGAAGGGGCTGCTCTGCGAGCTCTGTGCGTGACAGGGGTGCAGGGGTGCGGGGCAGGCACTGGTGCTGGGGTGGCTGGGCCGGGCTGGACTCTCCATCTGCCGCGTCCGAGCTCAGGGCCCGCTCCGAGTGGCCTTGGTGGCCGGTCCCTGGGAGAGGGCAGGGACCCTGAGAGACACTGACTCGGGCATGGCAGGGATGTGGCTCGGGGAGGCCCTGTGGGTCACCCCTTAGAGGAGCCCTCCACCCCGGCACCCAGCATGCCAGGCCTCTGGGGCCCCAGCGAGGGCCCGGCCCACGTGGCAGACCCAGGAAGCAGACGGCTGATCCATAGCTGGGCCTGCCTTGGAACCCGAGGGAGGCCAGGCCAGAGGGTGGACGTGGGGGACAGTGGCGCAGGCCCCTGTGTCCCCATCGGTGAAGGGAGCAGCTCCACAGGAAGCAGAGGGACAGGCTCCTGCCACCTGGGCACAGGCCAGTCATGCATGTCCCTGAGCAAGGCCAGGGAGGCCACACAGAGGGCGTCTGCCGCCAAAGAGAGGCAGCCGTGCCCCGGAAAGGCAGTGGGCAGAGGGGGTCCTGCTGGGGCTCTGCCTGTCCCTGTGATGGAGACCCCATGCTGCGGACCCTGCAGGCAGGTTGGTCTGTGCCTGGTGGGGGCCTTGGGCATGGCCTCCCTAGGCTGCAGGCTCCGGCGCCCCTGGCTATACAGACAGGGACACCGAGGCAGGCCCAGAGCAGCAGAGAGCGCAGTCACGGAGCCCACGCTGCCCTCCGCCAGCCCCGCAGGGCCAGGCGGCATGGTCACAGAAAGGCACCAGGGCGTGGCTGGAGGCAGCGCTCACCATAGCCGGTGGTGGGCAGCCCCAGGTGCTTCATGCGGTTCTTGACCAGCTCGGAGAGCTCCTGGCGCTCGGAGTGCCGGCACAGGCTGCCCCGCTGCTGGCTGCCCCACTCGGCAGCCACGGGCGCCTTCCCCCTGGGCCGGGAGCCCTTGCGGCTCAGCTTCTGGGCCCACTGCAGGCTCTTGCGCCGCAGCAGGGGGTGCTCGGCCGGGTCGCTGCTGCTGGGATGGCGGCCTTGGGTGCTGCCCCCACCGGGCCCGGGCCGTGCGCCCCAGGGTCCCGTGGCCCGCTGCGGGTCCTCGCGCTCTTCCACGTTCACCGATACCTGGGACTGAGCGGTGGAGGCCGTGGGGTGACGGGCCAGGGAGGCTGGGCCAGGCTGGGGCTCCTTCCTGCTCCAGCCGGGATGGGTGCAGGGCCTAGGGTCCCCTCCTGAGCCCAGGCCTCCCTGCCTCAGACCTGTCCAGGGATGGGGTCCCAGCCTGCCCCTGTGGCCCCAGCCTCAGTGAGCTTGCATCTCTGTGGTCTGGCTTTCTCCAGGACAGTGGCCCCCGTGCCTCAGCCTCCCCATTTGCAGTCACATCTTTAGGGCACTGTGTGTGGCTCAGTGGGCACACAGGTGCTGGGGGAGACATGGGGACCCCGCTGGGCAGCCCCTCAGAGAGCCCAGAGCTGCTGGAGGTGAGGAGCCGGGCCAGACCATGGGGACACATGCTGGTGGCCTAGGGGCTGGGGCCTGGGCAGGGGCAGCCAGGTGCACCTACTGAAACCCCAGCCTCAGTTCCCCACCAGTACAGGAGGAGGGAAACAGCCAAAGGCCCTGAGCCCCGAGCTGTCTCATGCCCAGGGCACCCTGCAGCCACAGCTGCCCATTGGGTTCTCCAGGCCTGAGGGGGCTCTTAGGGTGGGGTTCCCTCGGGGAGGCGGAGGGCAGAATGGGGTGCTCACCTGGGCTCTGAGATCCTGGGGCTGCAGAGGAAACAGGGCTGGGCTAGGGCCAGGTGCAGCCTCCTCCCCTCCCAGGTGCACAGGTTCTCAGGGTTTCCCAAGCCAGGCCCTGCAGGGGTCCCTGGGTGCAGTCACATCCGGGCCGCGCCCGCTGCCCACCTCGGAGGAGAAGACGTGGCACTCGGTCCTGTAGATGCCGATGGGGATCTCGGCACTGGAGGAGCACAGCTTCTGGAAGAGGCGTCCGTAGGTGCGGATCCACAGGTCATCCTCGCTGACCTTCATCTGCAAAGGCTGCAGCCCTGAGCCCGGCCACCCGGGACCAGGCAGTGCCCTGCCGCCCGCCCCCCAGAACTTACGGCACAGAGGTAGCCGGAGCCGGGTGTGGTGTCGAGGCCCAGCAGCAGGCGTGTGATGGTGATCATGTAGTCCTTCACGAAGGACTGCAGGGCAGGCAGCGCCGATGACTGCCTGCCTCGTGCCCGCCCAGGCAGCGCAGGCGGCCCAGACCCCTGGGAGACTCCTGGGCAGCCCCGCGGCCAGCAAGATGGCAGCTGAGCGCGTCAGGTGAAAACAGGACCAGAACCCAAAGCCCAGCCTGGACCCAGGGCAGTGGGGGAGGAGCAGCCCCAGGAGGGGCTCCGAGGGCCCTACCGCCCTGCACCCAACTGACCTGGTAGAGCAGCGTGTCCAGCATGCTGATGCTGAACACACGGCCCGCGGCAAACGGCAGGCGGAACATGAAAGCCAGGTTGGAGCCGTTCTCACGCTCCCGCTGTGGGAGAGGGGGTCCTCAGACTCCGTGGCCACCGCATGGACCTGAGCACGCACACGCACGTGCACTGGCGCGCTGCAAGCCCGGCACACTCCCCGCCCTGTGCCCACGCCCCCCGGGCACTTGGTGTCCCGAGGATGGCTGCCTGGGGCAGGGAGGCTGGACCCAGCCCGATTCTCAACCCCGAAGTCCCATCTTGGCCCGCACTTTGTGAGCACACTGAGAATGCTGGGCGTGGGCAGGGTGGGGCAGTGAGCCTGGCACCCACGCCTCCCCTCCTGGCACTGGTGGACCCGCTGGGCGAGGTTCCTGGGGCTGCCAAGAAGATGCCACAGCCTTAGCGGCTTAAAACAACACGCTTCAGGGCTGGGGATTTAGCTCAGTGGTTCCAGTGCCTGCCTCACAAGCGTAAGGTCCCAAGTTCGATCCCCGGTACCAAAAAAAAGACAACATGTTTTGTCCAGGCTGAAGTCCAGGGGCCTTGAGCCCCCTGCAGGTGCGGGCAGCTCCATGGCCACTTCCTGGGCGCCTCTAAGGCCTGCGGCTGGGGTCTCTTCCCCTGTCCTCCAAGCCATGGGGCAGCCCTTTCCCGACCCTGCCTCCTCCTCCAAGAGCCATGTTGACGTGGCCCACGTGGCCAGCCTGGGTCCTTTCCCATGCACAGTCCCTCTGCCGTGGCCCCTGGACTGGCACAGGACAGCTTCCGGGCCATTCTTCATCTGGCTGCACCCACGGGGGCTCAGGTTAGCTGAGGCGTGGCTTCAAGCACCTGAGGCAGCAGTGGCTTCCAGGGCACCGCCAGGCACCCGGTGAGACCTTCCGCCTGAAGGTGGCATCAGGCTGGCACAGGTGTGCGGGCATCACTGCGCAGAGCAGGGCACGGTGACCAGGCGCTCATGGGGACCCTGGAGTGGCACCGCCAGTGACGAAGCAGAACAGAGAAACCCTGCCCTTTCCCGGAAGAGACAGGGCGCTGACCCAGCAGGTCTGCAGAGACCCGGAGCCGGAGAGCCCACGCCCTCACAGAGCCACTCCTACTCTGCCACAGCTGCTCCTGTCTCCAGCACGGAGTCCTCGGGGTGCGGCTGCAGTGTGAGCAAGTGGGGACAGGGACACAGACTGACCCCAGGCCGCTGGGCACTGGGCCGCATGCGGCGTGGGGCAGGGCCGCTCCGGAGTGGGCGCTCGCCTGCCCGGCCAGCTCCGTGGCGTCCAGCCGTCCGTGCACGTCCGTTCATGCTCGCCAAGGCACACTCAGCAGTGCTGCGAACGTCTCCGTTCTGCCCTCCACGTTAGCTTCGAGGTAACCCAGGGCGTCGCATGGAGTCCAAATGGGTGGTGGCATCAACCTCCCGCTCTTGCTCCTGGAGAACCCGCTCCACACATCCCCTGCTCAAACGCAGCCACAGGGGTTTAGGGCGACATCTTGTTTCAAACTTTCTTTAGCTTTCAGTATTACTTGCCATGGGGTATGCATTGCCATAAATGTGCTTTTTTATTCAACTAAACCGTCCCACATTTTAAGAGGCTTTTAAGAGGCTCTCATGCTGCCGGGAGTTCTGTCTGCCCTGTCTGGGAGCCCGGGGGGCCTGGGGACTCCAAGCCCAGAAGTCGAGGGCCCCGTGCCTTCTGCAGGCCTGGTGCCCACAGGCACAGTGTGACCATGGACCCTGCCACCCCACCCCAGGCCACTTCCTGAGGCTTGGCAGCCTGAGGTTGCCCACAATGATGACCCGGCACCCCAGCTGGTCCCCTAGCATCACAGAGCCCCCCATGGGCCCTGTGGAGGTGGAGGAGCAGGCAGGCAGCACCCAGGGGAAGGGGCTCAGGTGGAAAGTGGTGACAGCAGGTGATGTCTGTGGAACAGGCTGGTGCCAGGCTGTCTGCCAACCTCCCCTTCCAGGCTGCGTGGGCGGCCGGGCTCGTTCCCGGGGAGCCGGCACTGACTGCTGCCCTGCGCCCAGCTTGGTCTCCAGATACCAAGCACCCTCCTCAGCCCCAACACGACCCAGGTGGCTGAAGAGGCGAAGCTGCCCCGTGTGACCTCCTTCTGGGATGTGAAGTCTGTGTCCAGCTCCCGGAGGGGCAGGGTTCCCACGTGGGCAGGGCCTGGGCCGGGCAGGCGGGAGCCACCCATGTCCATCCACCTGAGCGCAGCCAGAACCCAGGGTCCCAGCCGAATGGAGCCTGACTCTGCCGTCTGTGCAGCTTCTGGCTGGACAAGGCCATGTCCTGGGCTCGTGTCTGGCCCTTCTGTCCACACAGAGCCAGTCCCAGCTCAGGTGGGCGGTGCTGGCGGGTCCTCCCAGCCAGTCCACAGGCACAGTGCCACCCCGGACTGTGCCTAGCCTGGCAACCGCAGGCTCATGAGGAGCAGTGTGCATCGGTGGCTCTGGCGGGGGCCGCAGTCTCTCATGGCAACTTGCCCAGTCCTGGGTCTCCACTGCCCTCGGGCTCGCTAGTCCCTGGTGGGCAGGTGGCACTGCCACTGGCCTGGGCAGGGGGCACCAGGGAGACCCAACAGGAACCGTGTGCTAGAGGGGCCCGAGCTCCTGGTGGGCCATGTCTGCAGTGACCCCAACCCTGGTGACCCTGTTCACACCAGAGCCCCGCTGGTGCCCTCCACAGAGCTCCCAGGTACAGAAAGGGAGCTGGTGCCGCTCCGCACGCTGACCTCAGGGTGAGCAGGGCCAGCTCCTGCTGTGTCCCCGTCCCGCCCTTCCCAGGGCAGTCGGCAGAGGCCAGAGGACCTGCTGGGTGCCCAGAGCTCTGGGAATCTAATGGCTCCCCTGGGGGGCTCCGTGCTGACCGAGGAGCAGCAGGGTACCTGGGCTCGGCCCCCAGAGGTGAGCAGTGGGTCCTCCTGTGGCCAGGGCACCCACGAGCTCAGGGAGGCAGCCACCTGTGCCCATGCCGGAACCTCCATGGCCGCGGCCCCTGCCATCCTCTGCTCTCTGGCTCTGCTCACCTTTTCCAGCTTGGAGAGGGCCAGAGAGTAGCTGTCCTTGGCGCGGAACTGCATGAAGCGCATGTTGGAGGGGTGCGTGAGCTCCGTGGTGATGCTGAGGCTGGGGAACAGCCTGGAGGAGTCAGGCCGTGAGGGTGAGTGTGGTCACGTGTGGGCCTAGGGCTGGGTCCCATGTGGGCCTCGGGGCGGGTCCTGTGGTCACGTGTGGGTCTCAGCAGGGCCCGTGGTCACATGTGGGCCTCGGGGGGTTGGTCGCAGGGTCATGTGTAGGTCTCGGGCTGGGTCTCATAGTCACGTGTGGGTCTTGGGGCAGGTCCCATGGTCACGTGTGGTTCTCAGCAGGGCCGTGGTCACGTGTGGGCCTAGGGCTGGGTCCCATGTGGGCCTCGGGGCGGGTCCTGTGGTCACGTGTGGTTCTCAGCAGGGCCGTGGTCACGTGTGGGCCTCGGGCTGGGTCCCATAGTCATGTACGTTCCTTGGGGCAGGTCCCATGGTCACATGTGGGTCTTGGGGCGGCCCCGTGGTCATGTGTAGGTCTCGGGCTGGGTTCCATAGTCAGTGTGGGCCTCGGGGTGGGTCCCGTGGTCACGTGTGGGCCTCGGGGCTGTGGCCACGTGGGTCTTGGGGGGGGTGTATCCTGTCACGTGTGGCCCCGCCCCACGCCCCCCCCACCGGCCCGCACCGGAACATGGTCTGCACGTTAACGATGGTCTTAGCGTCAGCCATGTAGTCCTCCTCAGCACTCATGGTGCTCTCCTTGTCCACCACCACCAGGTTGTCGGCGTAGATGATGCCGCACTGCAGCAGGCTGTCCAGGCTGCGGGCAGGTGGAGGCGTGGCAGAGCCCTCTCCCTCTCGCCCAGCCGCCCTGTCGCCCACTGGCATGTCAGAGGGCAAGGTGGCATGCAGGATACACACCCCACCGCGGCCCCTGGCCTTACTTGTCCACAGAGCCCTCCATGTAGTAGACCATGGGGAAGCAGCAGATGGCTTCCAGGAAGTGGTGGTCAGGCCTGCGGGGACAGCAGGTGGAGGTGGCACCTGCTCTGCATCCCGCCCTCTCCCTACCCCAGAAGAGCAGGGGACCCAGGGGAGCCATCAGGGCCAAGGGGCCCAGGTTCACTGTAACCACGGAGAAACTGGGGCCCAGCAGAGCGTGCTGAGGTCAAACAGCCAAGACCAGACCCTGGGCCCCAGCCACCCGGTGTGGTGAAGTGGGGAGAGGGGGAGGAGCTACGCAGCCCCTGGGAGAGGAAGGAATGGCTGTCAGGAGCCCAGCGCTCCAGGGGGCTTGGGGAGCAGGAGCGCAGCGCCACCTGTTGTCCAGCAGCAGCACGATGGGGTTGAGCTCCCTGCGCGGCCGGTAGTAGGCCCGCAGTGGCACGATGAAGTTGTACAGCCCATTGCCAGCCGTCTCCGCTGAGACGATGATGAGCTTGTTCTTGAACCCGTACGCCTTGGCGTCCTCATAGCTGTTGTGCTTGCAGCCCTGGGGGCGGAGCCAGCACTGCTGCCCCTGCCAGGCTCCACCCACCAGCAGCCCACACCTGTCATCCCAGCACTGGGGAGGCTGAGGCAGGAGGATCACCTTGACTTTGAGCCCAGCCTGGGCTACATAGTGAAACCCTATCTCAAAAAAAAAAAGACATTTAAAAACCCAAAACCAAAAAAATAACCACGGAGGTCCCTACTGGAGGGAAAGTGGGCCTCAGCACATGTCCCTGGGAAGGCATTGCCACAGGGGCCACAAGGCCATGGAGACCCAGCTGCTGTGGGCAGGAGTAGGCCAGATGCCAGGCCATGTCCTGCCTGGTCCTGGTCACTGCACTGCGGTCACCAGGTGGTCCTCGCCCTCAGGGACATGTGGATGTGTTTGGGGCTCGGCTCCTAGCTGCTCTCGGGTTGTGCAGGAGAAACATGCTCTGACCTGGGCCCGGGGTAGCCTAGCACTAGCAGGCAGCATTGCAGCTTGGCAGCTGGAGGAAGGGCACTTCCTGCTGCCGCTTTCCGAGTTCGCAGTGGCATCAGACCGTCGTGTCACTGGAGGGGATATGGGGCGCAGCGCTCGGGACAGCCCCACCTCAGCCTCACCTTGTCCAGGCGCAGGCAGCAGAACGGGGCCTTCACGGGCAGAAGGTGGCACAGGGTGGGGGAGCTGCCGATGTATGGCGAGTTGGGTGGGTAACCCTTCACGTACCTGCCAGGGAATGGGGGTCTCAGCAGTGCACAGCAGGAGACGCCTCAGGGCACCCTGCCCCGGGGGCTCCAGGGCATCCCCTCTGCCCAGGACCCCTCCACTGACCGAAGTGGTCTGCTCTGCCTGAGACCCTCACCTAAGAAGCCACCCGGGAAGCTACGTGCATGGCCACCAGCAAGACCCGCCCAGCCTGGGCAGCCATGTGGGGCCAGGACTTCGGGGACCTGTCCTTGGCCCCAGGTCAGCAAATGCTCCGAGGCTAGGGTTGGGGGGCTTGGTTCCCAACAGGGTCCTGGGGTGACTTGGGCCAAGATGGGGCACAGAAGGCAGGGGAAGGGGTCACCCCCAGCGGGCTGCTCCAGGACCCACAGCAATCAGCCCTCAGTGGAGCAGAGGCTCTATACACCTGGGACCCTACCTCACATGCGCACGCGTGCGCATGTGCACGCACACACACACACACATGTGAGGACCAACACAAGGCTGTGGAGCCTGGACCAACCCAGGACTCTGCCCACCCAACCACCCTCCCTGGTGCTCTGAGCATCCCGGCCAGCAGGCAGATGCCCAGGCTTGGGCCCCTCCCTGCCCACTTCCCCTGGGCCAGGCTGGCCTCCCAGAAGGGGCCCAGGCCTGCTCCTGATCCCAGCAGCATAGTACACGCCACGTCATCCCACGCCATGCCACGCCATCCACGTGGCCCTTCCAGGGGCCTAAGGGGTGCGGCCTCAGGGGCCCAATGCACTGGCACAGTGTGGGAACCTGGCCCATGGCCCCCGTGTCAGAGCCTCCCAGGCAGGGGCGCACGGTGACCCACGGCTGGGCTCCCAGGTTCCCACTAACTTCGAGGACACCCTGAGCCAGGTGGGCTGTGCCCTGAGGTGCTGAGGGGTGACTGGGGCCACCGCCTGGCTCCACTGTGGCTGTGGAGCAGCCGAGGGCTGAGGATCTGGGCAAGGAGGGCCCTGCTCCAGAGCCCTCGGGGACCCCAGCGCCCAGCTCTGACCCCAGCTCCAGCGAGGGGAGGGGCGCGGCCCAGCAGCCCCCTCAGCGCATGGCTCAGCTGGGACCAGGCAGGGGTGCAGGGCCCTGGACGCGTCCCCCAGCCTGGCAAGGGCTCTGGGTCACCCCTGCCCTCCCGCCGCCGTGCACTCACTCGACCGCGGAGAGGCCCTCATCCTCGGAGGGCATCGCCTCGTCCTCCGACTGGTCGCTCAGCAGGTCGCAGGGCAGCAGGGCTGAGCTATCCGCCAGCTCCAGGACGGGGGCGATGCTGGGGCGCCGGCTGCCCGAGCCGTTCTCTGCTGGCAGCGTCAGCTTCGCGCCGCAGCCGCCCTGTGCGGGCCGGCACTCGGCACTCTGCAGGTCCATGGCCACCGTCCCTGGGGGGGGCGAGCTAGGCCAGGCCCTCCCACGCCGCCGCAGCCCACCTCCTCTCCCAGGGCAGGCGAGACGCGGCCACCCAGGTCCCACCCGTGCCTGCCCGCACCCCTCACCCATGGAGGCGATGATGCTGTGCACCGGCAGGCGCGAGGGCCCCTGGTACAGCGCCTGGCCCGCGAGGCCGCGCTGCTGCTGCCTCTCCTCCTGCTTGAAGATGAAGGCCGAGTTCTCCTCCTTGGTGATGTTGATGTAGAAGCAGGTGTCCGAGGCGGCCAGGATGTGGCGCGGGCCTGGATTCAGCAGGATGCTCTTGCTGTCCTCGCGCTTCAGCCCGATGAGGCACACGCCGTACCTGGGCACAGCAGAGCGGCCGCACGGCCCCTCACACCCGTGCAGAGCCCGGCGCAGCCCCGGGGCCTGCTCAGCAGGTGGGCGCCCCAGGGACCCCGCCCGCCTGCATCCTGCCCCTCCTACTTCTTGTGGCCGTGGAAGGCCGCGTAGGTAAAGCTCTTGCCCTGGTACTCGCGGAAGAACTTGCTGTCACCCATGCGGATGTGGTAGACTTCATTGCCCGAGCAGCGCCCGTACATGCGCTGCCACTGCTCCGGGGACTCCTGTCCTTCCCTGCCGGTGGGGCGGAGTGAGGGGACGGTTGCCATTGGTCCTGCTGGGCAGCTCCCCCCGCCTGCCCCGCACCCCTGGACGCCCGCGGGCCCTGCCTTGTCTCCCCAGGCACAGGCACTCACTGGCCGCGGGACGTGTGCACCAGCAGGGTGATGAGGGTGGAGGTGGCCGGGCAGACGCAGTTCAGGGCCAGCATGGCATACTTGCATTCCTCCTCACACACCACGTGGTCTGGGGCACAGGGTCAGGGCCACCCTGCGGCTGTGCCCACCCACCTGAGCCCCGGGGGCCCTGGGCCCTGCATGTCTAGCCTGCAGGCACCTCTGCGTCTGTTGGTCCCAGCTCTGCCCCGAGCTCCAGGGAGGCCTGGACCCCTCACTGTCCCCGGGTGCCCGGCCCAGGCCCTGCCCATTCAGGTGCCCACCACACTGCATGGCCAGCGCCAGCCTGCCGCTGATGTGGAACCAGGCGGGTCTGCCATCCCTGCTGTCCCCCACCAGAGCCCCCAGCTGTGTGGCCTGTGCCCGGCCCACCCTCCCACCTCCAGCCCAGGCACACCTGCGAACTTGACGTGGAACTTGTTCTCGGGCTTGAGGATCTGCACATAGAGGGGGCAGTTGGGGGCAAAGTCCTTCACGGCCCAGGCGCGCAGAATGGTCTGGTGGTCCTGGGGAGGGGGGGCAGTGTCAGTGGGGGAGCAGCGAAGGCTACACGGGCCCCACCCCGTGCTGTGGTGGCCTCACCCACCGCGGCCGTGCGGTCCACCTCGTTCCTGCTGCTGAGGATGAAGCAGGCCTCCCCGTTGTCCATCCTGTGGGGCAGTGGCTGGTCAGCATGGCCAGGTGGGGAGGCAGAGGCGAGGTCAGCCTGGCCCTCTGCCCGCCCTGCTGCCCTGGGCATGTTCTAGGCAGCCAGGCCGCCTGACGCCCTCAGGAGGGCGGACCTCGGGCACTGAGCAAGGCGCGCAGCTGGGCAGCCGGGGGCCATGGGGGTGCTGACCGCACTCTGCCTCAGCCTCCAGCTATTGGGGCTGAGGTTGGGTGTCCAGGCTGTGAGGGGCATTGAGACCCTGCCTCACTGGGTGCCGAGCCTCTGGGCCCTGGGCTGCTGACCTCACTGGGGACACTATCCAGCTGCCAGGCCCTGCGCCCGAGTCTCCATCAGCTGGAGGCTTGGCCGTCCCTCCCCTGCCTGGCCACGCTGCCCCCCACACCACCCAGCCCCACTGCAGCCCACATGGGCCTCACGCCTCCCTGCCCAGCTGGGCACTGCTGCCCCTGCCTGCAGCCCAGAGCCCAGCTCCGGGTCAGTGAGGGGCCCTGGGTGTCCTTGCTGCCTCTGGGCCACACAAGGGCCAGGTGGCTTGGGAGTAACAGCCGGGGCTGCAGGGACTTGGGGCACCCAGCTGGCACCAGCACACTCTGCAAAGCTTCTGGAGCAACGTGAGCAAGGTCCACCCACAGCTGTGCCGTCCCACTGACTCCGGCAGCGGCTTCCCCCTCGTCTGTTTTGGGCTCCAAAGAGCTCTCCACACGGAAACCCTGCTCACACAGGGTGGGGCCTCCCTGGGTGGCCCCCGCCTGTCCGGGCCGTGTCCAGCTGGGACTGCACTTACTTGGCGCGCATGAGGTCCTGGTCCTTGAGGGCGGAGCCCTGGAGGTAGATGACCCGCTGGGACCACAGGGGGATCTGCAGGACCCTGCGCACCTGGACGTCCATCTCGGTGGGGCACAGGATGACCACGTAGTAGTCCTGCTGACCGGGCTGCAGGTCAGAGCCCCCTGCCACTGCTCGGAACCCCAGGGCCCCAGGTCTGGCACGTAGGGCCTCCCAGGCACACTGCAGTCCTGGGCCCGGGCCTCACCTGCAGCCGGGGGTGGGCATAGAACTCGTTCAGGAAGTCCATGAGGAGGTCGATCTTGAGGGAGCTCACACACAGGACCACGTGCTTCTCCGTCTGCGCCCGGTGGCGGCTGTAGTTGCCCCCCGACTTCTGCCGCTCCATCCAGAGGTAGACGAGCTCCTCAAACTGCGGGGGGCGAGGGCTGAGCATGGGGACCAGGACAGGCGCCAGGAGGGGCCCAGACACCTCAAGCAGGCCCAGCCAGCTGGCGGGCACGGGACAGGGATGAGCACCCCGAAAGGAGGCCACAGCAGGCCCAGGAGCCAGAACGGGACGTGGCCGTGTGGGTCCACAGTGTACACACGGCCGCGAGGGGCAGATGGGCATCCACCGCCAGAACTGGGCAGCAGAGACACAGCTAGCCCAGAGCCTGGCCTCTGATGCCAGGGCCATGAGTGGACGCCAGCCTGGACCCAGACACCAGGCAGCCCCGAGTCCCTGTCTTCCCATCAGCCCTGCGCTCGCCTGGAGCAGAGTGATGGCTGCTCGGGTTCTCCACCCCCTCGGGAGGGCCAGAGGGACTACAGCAAGGGCCCGGCCACTGACCTACCAGCTCAGGGCCACCAGGGTGCGCCGACCCCCAGGCCCCATGCCTGCATCTGAGGGTGACAGGCAAGGACCTGAGGGCCCTTTCCGCCCACAGGGCTGACCTGGCCAGCCCACTCCTGAATGGACGGTGCTGTGGCCCCTTCCAGTGTCCGGAAGGTGCCCGCGGCCACCACTCCCACGGGGGGTCATGCACCACCTCCGTGATGTCCGGTCCGGTCGCTGAGCCACCAGGCCGCCCCGACTCAGGAGACCCTGCATGGTCCCAACAGCCAGGCCTCTGGCAGATGGCACGGGCCAGGGCTCTGCCCTCAGCAACCTGGTCCCCCCATGGGCACCGCGGCTCTGAGCCTCCATTTCCCCAAATGTCAGCACAATGCAGAACCGTGCCTGCCTCCGGGGTGCGGTGAGGATTAAGTGAGATAAAGAATGGGCTCGGCAGTGACCCCTAGGACTCCCAACTGCCCAGAGCCTCAGATGCCGATGTGAGCTCGTCAGGAACTAGGGGCACCAGGAGCCAGGCAGTAGCAGGGGACCCTGGCTCGCAGCCCCGACCATGCCGACACTGAGACCTACGAGCCCAGCCCTGAGCCAGAACGAGGTTCCCAGCAGACACCAGCTGCCGCTGGGTCCCAGAAAGGCACCTACGAGTGGAGTCAGCGTGCCCGCCTTGTCTCGGGAATAGTGGGGTGACAAGCCCCTGGCCTTCATGTCCCTGATGAGGCCCTGAGAAGACAGGAAGCTGCCACACGGCGAGGTCGGCCACGCACTGCCAGCCTGGGAGGATGGCACGTGTCCCCGGCCTGGCCGGGCGCTGGCCTGGCTCCAGGACACATGAGGCAGGATGCTGCCCTGTCACACAGTGGCTCCAAGTGCCATGGCCCCCACTCCACCGTGAGCAGCCGCATCCCGAAGGGCTCAAGAGAGAAGGTGCAGGGACCACCGCCACCGGAGGATGTGGAGCTGGCGCAGCAGCCCTGCCTGCAGAGGGCGCAGCCATCGCTGCTGGAAAGCCCACAGCACCCGAGCTCGCACCATGGCCCTTCCTCCCGTTTCCCTGAGCAGGGGTCTGGTGTGGGGTGGCGGCTCTGTGGCTCCCTGAGGAAGATCAGGAGGGAGGACAGAATGGGGCATGGCCCGGGCACAGGCATGGGCGCAGTGGGGGACACGGACAGCACTGGGCGGGACGCAGTGCTGTGGGTTCCAGAATGACTTAGTGGGAGTGCAGGGCCTCCGGAGGTAGAGTGACTTCCGAAAGCGCCCCCGGGTTTGCCGGGGTGGGGATGTGGGCATAGAGAGGCCAGGGCGAGCGGAGGACGCTGGAGCCTGCCCTCTCTTAGACCCTGTGGCACTGGCTTTGGACGTGTGGCTGCAGAGCTGTGGAGGACCAGGCCTGCATTTCAAGCCCCTGGCATGTGGCCCTGTGTGTCAGTGGCCTGAGGCAGGATATGGGGGTCAGCAGGGAGAGGGAGACAGAGAGAGAGAGAGAGAGAGACCTCAAAGGCGTGAGGACCAGAAAGAGAACCTTGCTCCTCAGGGACCACATCACCATCTACAGGAAACTCCCTGACCAGCAGAGCACCCAGAGCATGGAGCAGATGCCACAGACACCAGGGGTGCCAGGAGCCTCCCTCCACCAGTCCCCCAAGTCCGTGTGGATGACAGGGTCCCCACAAAGAGCCCAGCGAGGGACAGGTGGGGCCCAGCTAGTGAATCAGAAACTACACAGCAGAGCCAGGGAGCCAGGAAGCCGGGGTGGAGAGGGACAGGGACGGATCGGCTGTCCCGCCACGCAGGAGTCCACTCTGAGTGGCTAACACCCTTTTGGAAGGAAACGGGAGACCAGGGCTGAGGGTGGTCTTCTTAGACCAGTCAGGAAACAGAAGCGAGAAGGGAAAGGTGGGAATGTTGGGCTGCAGACGCTGCAGCGCCTCTGCAAAAGGGGGAGCCCACAAGCAGAGCGGGGAGCCGGGCGCACACCAGCAGGTCCCTGAGACCAGGAGAAGCCGACAGCAGGGACAGGCCGGATGGCAGGGAACGCACACGGCCTCGTGGGAAATCGGGGACAGACACTGGCAGGATCCAGAAAGCTGCCAACACTGCGTGCTGCCTCGGGTCTCAGAGGTAAAGGTCCCCAGGCCCAGCACTGCTTGAGGTCCCTGCCGCCCTGGGTGTCCTGGGCAGGAGAGCCTGCAGCACAGCCTCTGCCCAGGCGTGGTCAAGGGGACGTAAGAGGCAGGCTGGGAGCTGCCCTCCGGGTGCCAGGGGCCCTGGCAGCTGCCACACCTGGCTGTGGTCAGGAGCAGGGTGGCTGCCCCACCCGTCCTGTGCCTCTGCCGCTCTCCTAGAGTGGCCACCAGCACCGAGGGGCCCCGTGTGCCCAGAAGGCAGGGCCCGGGCTGCTGCCCCATCCTCTCCACCCCGGATGCAGCCTCACCGCGCACCAGCTCCGAGGCCCTGGGAGAGCCCGCCACAGAGGACGCTGCCCGTGGGGCCAGGACCGACCTGCAGCGGGAGCACCACGAGGGCCACGCAGATCATGATGACCACCAGCAGCTGGGACGGCCAGATCTTGGGCGTGACGTCGCCGTAGCCCACGGTGGAGAAGGTGACGATGCAGAAGTAGAAGGAGGTGAGCAGGTCCAGGTTCTCGCCAGCACGCTCCAGGTGCTGGATGCCGCAGGTCCTGGGGACAAGGCGCCCGTGAGGGGCAGGTGCCTGGCCAGGGTGAGGCCCAGCTGGTGCTCTGCCCACATGCGGCCCTGACCCTGGCCTGAGTTCAGCCTGGAAACCACTCCGTGCACTCGGCTCCAAGCGGCCCCGGCCCCGCCAGCCTGGTACCAGCTGACTACCATGGCCCTCCCCTGGCCACAGGACAGCCCGGGACGTGGGCCTCAGCTCCCCGGTGCCGCTCGCCACCCGGCACTCACCCCGTGAAGACCAGGCAGAGCAAGGTGCAGAAGAGGATGAGGACCTGGTTGAACATGGCTGACTGCGTCCGCAGGATAGCGCGGTGGAAGTCGTTCTGCAGGGAACAGTGTCAGGGGCAGCGCCAGGACCCCCACATGCACAGAGTGGGGAGCGGACGCTGGGAGGCAGACGGCCAGGCCACATCCCCCCACGGTGAGGACCCAGGGCAGCCCCGACCTCAGCGCCCTCTCCCAGGACCCCCGCCGCCACCTCGCTCCACAGCCAGGCCGTCTGGGTCTTGGAGCGGGGACCCTGGGCTGCCACCTCCAGGGCACAGGCCCAGCTTGGACAGTCAACAGAGCGCCCGCCTGTGGCCCAGCTCTCGTGGCCCAGCCGCCTGGGTTCTGCCCTCTCTCCTGCCCCTCCCAGCCCTTTCTCTCCAGGACAGGATGGCCTCGCCCTACAGCAGGGACTCGGCACTGGCTTACGATCATATTCTCCAGTGCGTGCTTGGCCAGCCAGCAGTTGAGGAACACGGGGATGAACAGGTTCCGCAGCGGTGCCCAGAAGACCTGGGGGCGGGGCAGGTCAGGCGGCGGTGCAGGAGCGGGCGGGTGGGCAGCGGGCAGCGGGCAGCTCACCCACCGTGATGATGAAGGGCAGCGTGTTGATCATCTCCAGGACAAAGGACACGCGGAAGATCTGCTCCCAGATGTTGCCCTGGGGGCCACGGGAGTTTAGAGCCCATGGGGGAGGGCAGGGGCAGGGGCAGGGGTGCCAGGCAGGAGGGGACAGAACCCGGCCAGGACGGCGGGGCGGGGCAGTGCTCACCTTGTAGCTCAGGTAGATGAGCAGCATGGTCTCCAGGAAGCTGATGGTGGCCACAATGACCTGGGAGAGGGAGAGGCCGGAGCAGTCAGGAGGTCGGGCCCTGACCCAGCAGAAGAGTCCGCCACAGCAGCGGCCCAGGCCCTGGCGAGCAGGGGCGCCATGGAGGACGGAGGGGCCCGGGGTACAGGGACAGGCTGCAGAGCCGTCCCACCTCTCCAGGAGGTGCGGGGCTGGGCAGGAGGCCCTCTGCGCAGGCCCCCAAGCCCTGTGGCTGCTCCCGGGTGGGCACTGCAGCCCCCTCTGGTCCCCAGGGGAGGCCGGGCCCCGGGTCATGAGGCAGCATTGCCCACTGAGACAGGAGCAGGGGCAGAGCCAAGAAAGAGCCCTCGCAAGTGGGCAGGAAGACAGTGGGGTGGGAGAAGGGCCGGAGGGCAGGGCAGAGCCTGGGAGGGTGGAGCTCTCACCTGGATCACCCACAGAGTCAGCTTCCTCTCCACCCACAGGATGGGGGCCCTGGGGAGGAGGGAGGGCCGTGAGCCACGGGCAGGCGCGAAGCCAGGCCCAGGACGGGCATCAGAGGCAGGGCTGCAGCCCGTGAGGGACGTCCCCAGGCCCCGGACTTACCTCAGGGCCCCGCCGCAGCCGAGCATGTCCACAGCGACCCTTGTCTCCCTGGGGTGGCCGCGGCCCTGCCGCCCTCCCCCACCCGACTTTGTCCACCTCACCTGGCCCTGGCGCGAGGGGCCTGGCACGGGGGCGAGGATGAAGGCGAGCTCACCAGTTGATCTCGGAAGACGAGCCGTTGAAGGTGTAGTTGTGCTTGGTGCAGCCCCAGCTGTGGAGAGACAGTGCTGCCCAACCCTGGCCCGGCCGGCCTGAACCCCAAGGCGCCCACCCTGCACCTCCACGGAGGGCTGCACGCTGTGCTGAGCAGGACGGTGGGGGCTCTGGCCCTGCAAACACGTCCCACAGCTGGGGACCCCGCCCAGGATGCCAGCAAGCTCCCAGGAGGCCCCGACCAGCCAGAGATGGAGCTGGGGACGTGCAGCCTCCGGAGCCCCTAGCTGCCCCGACAAGGCTGGATACAGCCCCAGGCCACCCTGGAGGACAAGGGTCTCCGAGCCACCTGCACTAGGTATAGAAGGCGCAGGACCCAGCAGACAGTCTCGCTGTGCCCCAGGCCTTCACCAGCACAGGCCACTGGCCGAAGGGCCTCGGTGCTCACGGCACCCATGGCGTGGCCAGTCCCTCCCCGCATGGACCTATTTAACCCTGAGCCTCTGTGCTCACGGAAGCGACCGGGAGTCTGTCTGCCCATCCACCTACCCACCTGCCCATGCACCCGGCCATCACCCACCCGCCCGCCACCCCATTCCCTCCCTACGCCCACCCTTTCACCTCTTACCACCACCTGTCCGCCCTTCCATCACCCACCTTACCCGACAGCCATCCACCGTCAGCATCGCCCACTGCCCCATTTTTGTATCCAACACCCTCTGTCCACCTCTCATCACCTCCATCCACCATCTGTTCATCCACCCATCATCTATGTCCCCCCCATTCATACGAGCCACACTCATCTGACCCCTACTTCCCGGCCCCTCCACTGTCCACCCACCTCCCACATGCCAGGCCCTGTGCTGGAGACGGGGAATGGACACAATGGCCGAGCCCTCTGGGGAGGCAGAACCAGAGCCTGGGAACCCCTGGGACGTGGGGAAGGGCACTGGACCCAGGAAAATGGGCTGAGAATCCGGTCTCTTCCCTCCTGCAACCTGGTTATTCTCAGTAATGGTGGGGCTGGCGCTCCCAGGATCCCTGAGAGCAGTTAGTGATGACAAGAGGCACTGAGAGCTTGGAAACGCGGCCTGGCCTGGCCTCCCTCCTGGGCCTGAGGACAGCCGAGTGCTGGGAGGGTCTCCAGTCAGCCTGGCTGCGGCTGCCCCACCACGGCCCTAAGCACAGAGCCCTGTGCCGCCTGCGCCCACCCTCAAAGGCCAACAGCCTCGAGGCTCACAGAGATGTGAGGAAGCCCACAGCGTGACGACTGGGGCCTGCGTGGGGGGAGGACCAAGAGCAGAAGAGGCAGCGAAGGGCAGGGACAGCTCGCTCAGAGTGGAAAAGCAGGCAGCCTGGGCAGGAACAGCAGCAGCACTGCCAGCGGAGACCAGGAGACAGGAGGACCCAGCCCTGGACCCCAGGCAGGCGAGTGACCAGAGGGAGGCCGTCTCCAGGGACGGGGCTCCTCGCAGCTGCAGCACAAGGGCCCTGGACCAACCCCGAGCGGAGCAGAGCGGAGCCTCGCACAGCACAGCACCCTGGCCACAGCCCCAGCAGCCTTCGGGTGGACCAGGCCTCTGCAGGGCCAAGGCTAGGTGTGGCACCAACTCCCCATGCGGCAGGGGCAGCAGGAGGACCACAGAGAAGACTGGAAAGCAGCACACGGGCCTCCCTCTGTGGACGCCTGGGGCCACTGGACTGCAGGTCCCACCTCCTCGACGTGGGAGTGGATGAGTGGCCAAGGAGGAGGACGCCACAGGTCCCCGGGGGGTCAGACAGGGACCCAGAGATGGGGAGGGGCCCAGGGCCGCATGCAGCCCCGCAGGCTAGGGTGACACAAGGACCTTGTGGCGCAGACCCTCTGCCTTCCCGGCCAGGACAGCTTCAGGGTACCGGGTAGGACCCCGCTCCCCACGTGGACACCGCCCTGGCTGAGGGGCTGGGCACGGGGGCTGCGTGCGGGTCACCCCACAGCCCTGTGCCCGCCAGGCAGGCTCAGCCCAGACCCCGGCCCTGGTGACCTGGCACCCACCATCCGATCCCTCGTGCCGGGTTGTCCAGCAGGACGCGGACGATGTAGAGCAGGCAGGTGAGGAGCTTGAGCGAGAAGTTGAACAGCCGGATCCGCAGGCCTGTGGGCAGGGGTGTCAGCCAGGGACGCGGGAGCAGCCCAGTCCTGCCTGGGGGTCTCTCCAAAGGTCCTCCGGGGCCCTGGCCAGTCCTCCCCACACCCTGGGCTACCTGGGGGCTGCAGAGCTTCTGGGGACCAGCCCACACCTGCAGGTACGCCCCAAGGCCTGGGGCCCAGGCTCCGGGCGCGGGCGCGTCTGGGCTGGGAGCAGGCGGGGCTCGGAGGGATGGCCCTCCCTGAATCCAGCCTGGGAGGGGAATGGAGGGGACAGGCGCCCCCATCGAGCCCCAGCGCTGTCTGGCCTCAGCGATGGCACGCTGACAGGGCCGCCCCACTCCCTGAAGACGTGCTGCTCTTACAGAGTGGGAAGGTGCGTGGTCCCGAGACCACCACTGAGCCACACAGCCACCCACTCTGCCCAGCCCACCCTGAACCCGACCTTGTCCTGCCCGCCCAACTCACTGGATCTTTGGTTTTTGATGAAGAACAGTTTCAGCCGCTCCTTGAAGGTGTTCTCATTTACGTAGAACTCCACCTGGACCCTGTGGGCAGGACAGGGGTCGGACTCCAGGTGGGCATGGCAGGGATGAGCCTGGGGCTGGGCCCAAGAGGGGCCAGATGCCTGGGGCCAGGCTGTGTGCGCCCCCTACTGGAGGCCGGTGTGGGCAGCACAGGGTCTGGTGGCACTCAGGTGGGGTCCACAGCACAGCATGGGGTCAGGGTGGGGCAGGGGAGGGACAGACCACTGCGGGCTGAGTTTGCTGCCAGGATGGTCCTGGGTTGCCTGCAGGCAAGGCTACACCGGCCCAGGTCCCTGTCCCCACCCTGCCACTGCCCACAGACAGGTGGCTCTGAGACCCCGGTTTGGGCACTGCCCCTGTGCGGGCACCGCCCCCATCCAGGCAGGCAGAGTCTGATGCCCCTGCTTGGTGGGGCTCGCTGCCCCGATATCCAAAAAGAGTTTACAAGTCACTGCCCCGAGCGTGGCACACACAGAGCCAGGGGTGTGGATGCCCTGTGCCCTGCTGGGGCTGGAGACGCTTCAGTCACAGAGGCTCTGCCAACCCAGCACTCCAGAGCCAGGGAGGTGGGCCGGGCCTCACCCGAGGGCAAGGCCCAGCGGGTCCCCTGGACTCCTGGCCTGGCAGCAGGCAGGGCCTCCCACAAAGCGGCAGGGGCCAACCGGGGCTGCTGGTGCCCAGTGCCGGGGTGCGGGGGATGGCCACCGTGCCCAGCACTCCTCGCCTGAGGGCCTGGGAGTGGCTCTATCAGACGCTCTTCTCACCGAGGAGCAGGGCCGCGGCAGGACAGGACAGGCTACCGGCCGGGGCCTTGCTCTGTCTGGTCCTAGGTCGGGGGCAGTGTGGGGCAGGGGCTCCCCTAGTGCTGGGCCTCAGCACCCACCCTCACTGCCAGGGCCCCAGGGACGGCCCGTGTCCTCCAAGCAGAGTGGAGCTTCTGGACATCTCTTCTGCCTCCTCCGTGTCCACGGGGCCTCATGGAGCCCTGGTCAGGACCCCAGTCCCTCATCCTCCCGACTCCCACCCCACCCCTAAACATGGACAGCTGGACACCAGCACAGGCATCCCTGGCCGCCCCGGCTCAGGCTGACCTCTGACCTTCCAGGCTCCAGGCCTGAGGCGCCCATCTAGCCTCCCCTGTCCAGGCGGGCGACAGCTCCCCTCACTGGACGTGCGGCCTTCCAGCTCCGGCCACTGTGCCCCATTCCCACGTCCACCTCTGCGCCTCCCAGCCTTAGCCTTGGCCCTGGCCCTGGCCCTGGCCCTGAGCTCAGAAGACACTGCCACCCACAGAGACCAGGAGCTTTGGCGTCCGGAGCTGCTGTCTCTTCCCAGCCAGGAAATGAAGACTGTGCTGTGACACCACATCCTCCCCGTGGCCCGGGGTGGCCATGCCCCTGGCCCGGCACTGGGGGGGGTCTGGGTGGACACCATCTGCCCAGCCCCAGGGCTCGGGGTCAGCACCTGCCTCCAGGGGTCGGGGACACCCTGCTCTCCACCCGGAGCACAGGAGCTGTGAGGCTGGCAGCTTGGCTCCGAGGCCTGAGCCCCGTGATGCCAGGGAAATTAATGAGGCCGCCTTCGCTGTCATTTTTTAAGGAACTGTGGCCTCCCACTCCTCCTCCAACCACCACAAAAAGTAGATTAAAGCTGTCCATCTCCCGAGGTGTGCGAGGCACAGGTGTGACAGCTGCTAGGGCAGGGGCAGCGGGACCAAGCCCAGCGGGGTCCCCAGCAGCCCGGCCCACCCTGCACCCGGCCGCATGGGCACCATGGGGCCTCCCGGGGTCACAGAGCAGCACTGCCTGGCAGTCAGGGCCCAGCCTTGAGACCCATGCCCGCCGGGAAGCCAGACCTGGGCCCGCCCCTCACCTGCCCACCCAGCTGGCTCTCAGGGAGGGAGGGCAACAGGCTCCCTCCCACGGTTCCCCTGGGTGCTGGGGGGGAGGAGCCCATGCGCCAGGCTCACAGGGAGGACACAGTGACAGGCGTCATGGGGAAGGACACGGTCCGGGGCCTGGGGCCATGTGGCTGCACAGGGGAGCAGCCAGCCCCATGGTCCTCAGCATGCACGGGATGGGCCAGGGCCAGGGCAGGGCGGGCTATTTGGAGGAGGCAGCAGCAGGCCGGGGGCAGCCCGACTGTGCTGTGTGCCCGGCCCCCATGCACGCAGAGACCCTGGCACCCCAGCCCAGCCTGCAGGCTCACCTGTCTCCTGCCTGAGACGCCCCCAGGGCACGTGGAGACCCGAGTGCTCTGGACCCAGCTTAGGGGATGGGAGGGCAGAGGCTCTGCTGCTGCTCCCCGGGCCCCAGGCCACCCCAGGGACGGCCAGGCCCAGCCCCAAAGCGCCCAGGAGCAGGTGGGGCCCTCAGCCGGGAGTCTAGGGGGAGGGTCCCGAGTGGCCAGTGACTGCTCCCATGACCCTGGCTCGGCTCTCCCTGCGAGACGGCCTTCCTGGGACCAGCGGACTCCTGGCCTGGCCTCAGGCCTCCGAGGGTCCGGAGAATCTGCTCCCACAGGGCCGGCCACATGCCATCCACACCCCCTGCCGGCCCGGGGCCCAGCTCCCCAGGGTGAGAGCCCTGAGGCAGGGGGCACCACTACCCACTGCCCCGTAGGGGTGCCAGGCAGGACACTCAGGCTGCGGCCCAGCTGTGGCCCACGGCTCCCGGGGATAACGAGACTGGCCCGGGCCTCACAAAGGGCGCTCCTTGCACATTCATGAACCACGCTTACCACTGCCGACCATGGCGTTCATTCGCGAAATACACAGCCCCGCCTGGAGGCCTGACTGACCATGGTGGCCTGGAGGGGGCTGCGCTGAGGGGCGCTGGCTTTCCCACCCTAGCCGCCGCCGCCGCCGGCCCTCAATCTCAGCTGAGCCCAGCTCAGGCAGTGCTGAGGCTGGGCCAGGAGTCACCTGCTCGCTGGCTGTGCTGCCTCCAGGTGCTGCTGGCAGCCTGGCCACGCTGCAGGGCTGGGGCACCCACCTCGCAGCTCTTTGGCTCCTCCTCTTTGGCACCCTAGTGCCAGGGGTGCCAGCTGTGCCCCTGCCCCCTGCCTAGGCAGAGCGACTCCCACGGGACCGGTCCACCAGGGGAGTGAGGACATGTCTGTCCTCAAGATGAGCCCCCCTGCAAGGCACTTACTGGGAGAGGGAGGAGTCCAGGCTGAAATCCTCCACCTGCAGCCTGGGACACAGGGCGACGCGTCAGTGCAGAGAACAGTAGGTGGGCCGGCTGCTGGGCCAGGTCGGGGCTCCTGGCAGGGTCGGACCTGCAGAGCCCTGGGGTGCGGCAGGAGCACTGGGGAGCCCCGCATGCAGGCAGGCGGAAGCCAGGCCGGACCCACAGCCCCAGGAAGCCGCAGGCCACCCCACCCCCGCCTCCACGTGCAGCCCCTTGTGAGAGGCCGGCCCACCTCCACGTGCAGCCCCTTGTGAGAGGCCGGCCCACCTCCAGCACACCAGGACACCAGCCCTCCCTGCTCAGTGCCAAGCGTGCCCAGGCCTGCGCGACCCAGGAAGCAGAGGGTGGCAGAGCAGCCCCTGCACAGGACCATGCGCCATCTGCAGGTGGCCCTGCCCCCAGAGAGACCAGGGGATGGCGGGCTGGGCACCCCTCCACCAGGCCAGGCTGAGCAGCTTGGCCCCGGGGTTCCCAGACGGCTGCTGGGCAGCTGACACCAAGGACTGGGCAGGCACCGCGGGGCTGGGCAGGGTGGGGTGGCCAGGGCTGTTCTGGACCAGCTCCTCTGAGGACTCCAGAGCCACCTCCCTCAAAATCCCCAAAGCAACCTCTCCACTGGCAGAAATGCAGGCCTCCAGGGCCACGAGGGCAGGAAGGAGGGGGTGCCTGGCCCCTCCCTCAGTGAGCGGGTGGAGGTGGCCCTGGCCCAGGGTGCCTGACCTGCATGGAGGGAGGGAGGAGCCCCCGGGAGTCGGCCTGCCACACCCCCTCTGACTCGTCCAGCCTCCAAGCCTACACAGAACTGAACTGCTGTTGGTTTTTATTCTTTTTTGTACCGGTGATCGAACTCAGAACTCTGCACTTGCCAGGCAGGCGCAGCACCACTGAGCTACATCCCTGGCCCAACGGCTGTTGTTTTAAGCCCTGTGTGGAAGTGGCCCTGCCAGTTCATGGGCCACCTGATGATGCCACCCCTGTCCCTGGAGGGACCAGGCGTCTGGCTGTCCACTGTGCCCATTCTGGGGTCAAGGATCCACCAGCCACCCAGACGGGCACGCTCCAGAGAGTGCAGGGGAAGCTGAAACGGAGGGAGGGACCTGCGAGAAGACGGGCTCTCGAGCACAACCCAGTGGGACGTGCACGGTGGCGACTTCCTAAGGGGTGCTCGGGGGACGGTGCGTGCGGAGCTGCGGTGTACGACCAGGCAGTGGGGAGTGGAGGGATGAGGGGGAGAAGCAGGGCATGGGGGCCACTGTGAGCCTGGGCCTGCAGGGCTGGGTGGGTCCCAGTGAGCGCACTGTTGGGGGACATCCCTGGAGCCCAGAGCAGCCGGGGCAAGCAGGTATTGGACTTTCCAGGCTGGGTCACCACAAGTCCTAGTGTCCTGGCGACAAGGCCAGGGGCCCCTGGAGCCTGAGGGGGCCTCAGGGGTGTGGGGAGGAACTGGCCCATGACAGCCTGGGACTGAGAATAGGCACTGGACAGGGAGCAGCCATGTGCTGGTGAGGCAGTGCCAGCTTCCGGGGGCCAGGGCCTGGCAAAGAGGGCACACAGGGTGAGGGCCGGTGGGAAGGACCGTGGCTGGGAGCCCTGGGCGGGTCCCAGTCACCTACAGACAGCTGCCACGGGTGGACAGAGACAGGAAGGGGCAACTGGACGGCGGACCCTGGGCTGGCCAGGTGCAGGCTGGCTGGGTGCCACTGGGAGGGGCTTCCGGACCCTGCACCCCTGCCTCTGCCCCCAGCCCTGCGTGCAGAGCCAACCTGGTCCCTGGGGTCCTCCATGCACAGAGCCGCTCTGATGCCAGGCTCAGAGGGGCCCTGTGGGGAT